TTCAAGGGTAAATGCTAGTGGAAATCGGACAAGGGGTAGTGATGATCTTGGGCGAAGATCAAGTGTAACAATATGAACCTATATTATCGAGAGGTGAATAAGAAACTTCTGTTGTCGATACCAACTTTGTTTGTAGGGTAACTAAAATTTCTGATTAAGGATGGATCCCTAAATTATTTAGCATATAAAATTTTGCAGATTAATTATGTTTCTTTTGAAGGGACATAATTATTTGTTTATTACTTTAAGAGACATAATTCAAAAAATATATAAATTAAATGGCCTAAATTACAAAAAACATTTATAAGTAATTTTTTTTTGACCTTATATTTTAAAAAAAACTTTTTTAATAGTAAGTGACATTTGAATTATATCCTTGCCTTTAATTTAAGGACCTATCTTTATTTCTAATCATTATATATCATTTTACTAGATATTCTAGACACCAGCATAATACTTGTAAAATTCTACACTAGTATTGGCTACCATATGACTGGATATAGTAGGACACAACTCCCTGGGAGTTCAGATGACAATAGTTATATAATAACTTCTTAAATATATCTAGTCTAACCATCAATAAGTAAACAATGCCAAATATGATAATAATGACTATGCTGATCTTTTGGAAGAAGTAAATCATCTGTTCTTTTTCTAAAAAATTATGAAAATGAAAAACTTCTTAAGACCTACAACATAAAAGAAGTTATCACTTCTTAATATGGTTTTTGAATAAAGAGAGTCAATTGGCCAGAGAGGTAATAAGATGGAGAGCAACAGTTTTAAGAGAAATAAAAGCCTAAAGAAAAAAAACTTCAAAGAGAAGGAAAAAACCTAACTTTGATAGGAAATAAGAAAAAGAGAAAAGGAAAGAGGTATATATTAAAAAAGGTTTGTAGAAGAGAAGGGAAAAAAAAAAGGAAGAGGGAAGAAAAGAATAATAGAAAGAAGAAACAATATTAGGGAAAAGAGAAAAACAAAAAAAGAAAACAATTTAAAAATTTTCTAAAAAGGAAATTTTCAAGTATAGGGAGAGGAGTGAGAAAGAGTTTTTTTATATTTTAAAAAATAATTCTAAAAATTTTTATTTATTTATTATTCAAAAACCATTATATATAATTAATAATTAATATATCAAAATAAAGCTTAAAATATAGAGATAATAAAAATATAAATTTTATATAAAAATATTTTTTAAATTTTTTAAAATTAAATATTAAAAATGAATTACAAATAAAAATTTTATTAAAATTATATAAATTTGAATACAATAAATTTAAAAATTTGATAATTTAATCTATAGATTTATTACTTTTTTAAAAAAATTTCTATATAATTTTTTTTATAAATATTAAAAATAAAATATAGAATTTTATAACTTTGTAAATTCACATAAAATAAATTTAAAAATTGATTAATAGTAACAATAATATTATATTTTTTTTATAAAATTTTTTTTGTTTTCTAAATTACCATTAATTAAAATATTAAAAATTTCAAATAAAATTTCAAAAAGTTTTGCAATACACTGTAAAATAATATTTAAACAATTTATAAATTATTATTATTTTTTTTTTATAAAATAAATTATATATTTATTCATGTTATTATATAAATAAAAAATAAAATAAATCTTATAAGCTATTAATTTAAAATAATATTCACAAATTTTAACAGTTTCTGTTTTCTAATATATAATAAATTTTGTATAATATATATTATATGACATAAATAAAGTATTAATCTTAATAAAACAAGATTTAACTATTTTTTAAAAACAAATTAAATAAAGTTATTACATGTAGGCAAGGCTTTGCTAATTAAACCAAAAAAAAAAAGAAATATATATAAATATTTTGAATTGGTTCATTGAAAATTTTTAATTCATGTCACACATGAAATTTCAGAATAACAATAATAGAGAAATCTTAGAAATGCTTTTAAGTAATCTTAAACTATAGATTTTAAAATAGTTTTAAAATACTTATTATTTTTATATTAAAAATTAATTTCAAAAATTTATGACTCACATTATATAAATAAATTAATAAAGAAGTTTGATTTCTACGTGATCTTAATGACGTTACATTTCAGTGCAAACTCTTTCGAGAAAACACGTATTGAGTGCAAAGTGAAATCGCATCTTCTTATCAGTGTTAATGTTAAAGATAGTAGAAATGCGATTATTACACCAATACTGTAACAAGTGTGGTTATTAGCAACCAGCAGACACAAGACGCTTAAGTAGATTCTGTATTCAATTTAAAGACGTCTCATAAGTTGCTGAAGAAGCTATTGGGAAGGTGGATTCGACTAAATAGAATGAAATACAATTTATTGAGACTCAAAAGAAACATAATTTGATGTGTAAATGCTAAACACAATTAAGTCGTACGAATTATATAAAGTCGATTTCTTTAGTTTTGAAAATTTTCTAAAACCAAAAATTGTTTATTGTTAAGAGATGTCTTCTCTTTCCATAAATATATATTTCTCAATTGTTAATTTTAAACGGTTTCAAAACATGTTTCTGTACGCATTTTCTAACTTAGCTAATCTTCAAGTTTAGTCAGGATTGTTTGGCACGTAATTTAAAACTAGTACCTAATATCACGTGACGATCGACATACCATATTCTAAAAAAAAAATTTTCACTTCCCCGAGAAACCATCCTTTCTCCCTTCACTATGATAACATCAATTTCGTCATCAATTATACCAAACTCATCGATAAAATTCTTTACTCTCAGAACGTCACGATCAATATTCAGATCTTATGGATTAGCTGTACCACACATTATTACCATAAGAAAAGGCAAAAAACAAAGCAAACCTAATAGAAATGAAATTAATGATTGGGAAATTAGTAAGAGTTCTAGCGACAGCGGCGATGGTAATTGGAAAAGTAACAAGGAATTTAACGGCATCATAAAGGGTGGTAAAGAAAGATATCCGAAGAATAAATCATCATTTGGTAACGAAAGGTTTCATAAAGAAACTTTACCGCGAAACCAGGAATTCGGGTACGAAAATAATGAAGATGGAGAGATGGGTAAACGAGGAGATGGAACGATCATAAGAAAGCATAAAAAACAGCAACCCATCAGAATTTTTGAGTACATAGATCAAAGCAAAAATACTTCAGGTAAAAGTCGGAAACCGCCTTTCTCTATTGTGTCAAAAGTAATTATTCCAGATAGTAAGATTCAACCACTTCCACTACCGAAATCAACTCGGCATGAAAAATTGAATATTGTTAAGGAGGTTTCTCAAAAAAGGAAAAATCAAGTTATAAAAATATCGAAGAGCAATGCATTGCAGGAGAGTAATGGTGATGGCAAAATGGTTAATCCTAGAAGGATAACGTTAAGAGCAAATTATAAAAAGTTTTGGGAAGAAAATATACTTAAACCAAATTTTCACATGTTGGAGCATGGTTCGTATCAATTTTAGTGTCAAGGTCATATTTTATTATCACATTATTTCGGTGTTAATGCGTAATCGATTGATGAAATTCAAGATTTCCTATCTTGGTGTCGCGGAACAAGATTGTCAAAATTTTATGATTGCTTCAAGGGAATGGATTGGAAAGACATAATACAATTAAATGAAGAGCAATTAAAGGAATTGGGAGTGGGAAGACCGTCTTCTAGAAGAATTTTTTTACGAGGATTCAAGTATGCTAAGGTTGCCCTGGTAGGTATTCTGTTGTCCTTCAGTTGACAAGAAGAGAACATTCTATGTATATGCCTTTTAAAATTTTATAGGAAAAAGAAATGAGCAAAGTATCATCGGACAAATACATCGAAAAATACGACATCAAACAAGTAATATTGAACAATGAAGATACCATCAGACAAACTGGTGAACAAATGCTTGAAGGTGAATTGCTCGAGAAGCTGAAAAGGCAAAAACAAGAAAGGCATAAAGAACATGAAGCGAAATTTGAAAATCATCATAGAGAGAATCAATGCGAGAATGCGTAAAAGAAGAAACACGGTGATAAAGTTGTGACAAAAACGAGTGAACTCATATGCGTATGATAATATTTTAAAAACAAATATCTCGATTATGTTTGCATCAATTGCATAAAATACATATACAATTACAATATACAAATATAATGAGTGTAAATAAATAAACAAACAAATAAGTAGATAAATACATATTTTTTCTTATATAAAATAATTTTTCATATCAAAGAAAATAAATGAATTTTTAATCGAAAACCAATAATATACATACATTATCAAAGTATTATCAAAATATCAATGTACACTGTATCCATTTAAAATTTTTTATCGTAAATATGACCGGTAATGTGTATACACAGTAGATTGTTATTAAATTGATGATTAATTAATTAAAAATCTTTCAATAAAAATATATTCGGCAATATACAGTACTTTCGATTTTATGATTAACCAGTATGATATCAATGTTATAGAAAACATTTTTTTTAAAAAAAAAATCGGCAAGGAATTTATGAAAAAAATAATAATAATAAATTGTTACCCGATTCTTGATATTAATAAAAAAAGAAAGAGATTCTTGAATTTTGTTATTCCTACATCTAATTAATGCTTTTTTACCATTCGACAAACGATCCGATTCAAACCTTCAACTATACGTATATACTGTATATGTTTTATTGACCAGTGGACCGAGCTGATTAACTTATATCACTATGCACATATGACATTGTTTTGGGGGTTCCATTATTGGGGCTTTATCTCGGAAAATGATTCAAAATTCAACAAGATAGATCTTAAAATCTACTTATATTACTGAGATTAACTTATCGTAAAATGAGAACATTCAGCATATTTAGGAAAAGTAGAACAGGGCAGTTCTCTCAAAGAATCCACAATTACGCAATCACATTGATAAGGACAAAATGCGCGTGTTTCAAACGCTCGTCGCGAGACATTTTTGTCGGTTTTTTAGAAACGCATTTTAACCTAAAACCTTGTGCAGTAAAAGGTTCCCAGATAAACTGATCATACACCAAATTAATTCTAGTTTAAAAACCGGGTGAAAATTATGATGGTTAGTTTGATCCTATGCAGTTTAAATTAAAACTAGTATCCAAATCAATTATTACAACGCGACACTCGTTCATCAATTCATATTTGTGTAGATCCTGGATCCATAGATAAATATTCCCGCATACTTTACACTACCATTCCATCTTTGGTTGAACCCTCCGCCATTTAATATCAAAATCTCGATCGACCATTATTTATAATTGCAAATTCAATAATTAATCATAAATGATCTGATGATATTATTCTTTTTATATGCGAATGGTGAAGCCCAAGTTTCCCCGGCGAGTAAATCTTTCCTAGTGAGTATTCTTTAAGCAACATTTATCATTTTTATTATGGAATCTTAGATATCACCCGTTTTACATCAATTCCATAAAAAGGATATCTACTAGGAAATTGACTAGTCTCATTTTCACTTTCGTAGCTCTTTCATAATTTTCCTCCCCCGATTTCACGACTCAAAAGCTCATTTATTTTAAAATAATTGTTTTAAATTATTGTCACACGGCGCCGAGGTTTTACAACGGTGCCACTATGCATTTTGACATATAAATCCGTCAAAAGTTTAAGATCAATAATCCCCAGTAATGTCGCTAAAACCAAAGCTTTGTTTTATCTTAATTTTTGTTCTAGCAATTTGTTGTCATGTTAATGCTACAGGATTTGCTTATGGAAAAGACAAGGTTCGAGGGGTTAATCTCGGTGGATGGTAATTGATATACTGCATATATCTATATATTCACTCTAATTCTTGTTATGCCTGGCTAATTTGAAATTCTGTGATTATAACTTTCGTAGGCTGGTACTTGAACCATGCAAGTCTTACACTAATATGTCCCCTTGACCAAATTCGCTTCAAAATTCATGAAAACTTACATCTATTTTCATTGAAATTAGGGATTCGACCGAGTCTTTTCGATCAATTCGTGAACTCCACAATACAAGCCGTAGACGAATATACCTTTACTCAAGTTCTTGGGTGCGAGGAGGCTAGGCGACAGCTCCGAAATCATTGGAATACTTGGGTGACAGAAGCTGACATCAGAAAGTTGGCTTCCTACGGATTAAATCACTTAAGGTTATTTGTTTTTCGCTTTTGTCGTAAACGTCACGTGCCAATGTTGACAACTCATCGCATAAACAGGATTCCGATAGGCTACTGGGCGTTTGACAAAAAACCTGAAGAACCATTCGTCCAGGGGGCTTATTTCTACCTATTGAAAGCTGTAAGATGGGCGAAAAAGTATAACATGAAAGTTATTTTGGACTTGCACGGGGCTCCCGGATCTCAGGTGATCAATGGCTTTTGCGTTTCGTGTAGATCTTCGATGTCCTATACCATATAACTTTTATAATTCTAATGTCATCGTTTCTCACCGTAGAACGGATTTGATAATAGTGGTCGACGCGGTCCGATTGAATGGCAAACCGGAGACCCAGATAACATTCCACGCACCATAAATGCGGTGAAGATTATGACAAAACGATTCAGTTGTTCAGAATTCAAGAATACCGTTGCGGCAATTAACGTTTTGAATGAACCCGCCAGGTATACTGTAATTAAATTTCCAGCGACACCGTTTTTCTAAATAAATAATCCAGGTTCAAACCATTTTATATAGCTGGGGAGGCAATCAACTAAATGTCACCCGAAAATTCTACGCCAAGTCATATGAAGCAGTTCGTCATATTAACAGTGGAATCCTGGTCGTCTTCCATACCTCCTTCCTTCCTCTGTCCACTTGGGGCGATTATCTAAGTTCACGGAAATTTTCGCGAGTCGTATTGGATACTCATATTTACACGGTGTTTAATTATGACCTGCTAGCATTGAATCAGGCGCAACGAATAAATTTAGTATGCTCAAATAAACCTGACATCTTGAACTCGACCGAAAAAGTTTGGACGTTGGTTGGAGAATGGTAAGAAAAATCTCTGGATGATTTGATCGGCAGCTTCTTGCATTATATATGAATCACCAATAATAATATGAATTAGGAGTCTCGCCGATACCGATTGTACGAAATGGTTAAATGGTTTTGGCAGGGGTGCGTTGTACGATGGAACTTTGGGTGAAAGAGGACCTGTGTGTCCCACTTGCAAATGTCAAGGGACGGAAGATTATTGTAATTGGACTTTGGAATATAGAAGATTTCTATTGGATTTTGCGTCCGCTCAGATGGATGCCTATGAAGCAGGGTATGATATTTTTCCATCATATTTTTCTCAACTCTCTGCTTGGTAACATTAAATACGAAGATTTGTAACAACAGGATTGGTTGGATCTTTTGGAATTTCAAAGCCGAAGCATCACCGCACTGGAATTTCATGTTGGGAATCGAGGAAGGTTGGATTCCACTTTCGCCCATAAATCGAACCTATGAATGTAATGTAATGGACGCGTTGGTTGAATTATTTTGAGAAAATTTCTTTTTTTTTTTTATTGCTTAGTATAACGCGTCGGTTTAGCCTTAATCAGAAAATTTCTCACGTGATCTGTGAAAATTTCTGTTATTGCATAATGTTGACGTTTTTTTTTTTAATGGTATCGTGATTTTGGTTTCTTCTTGCTTCCCAATGAATCAAGATTTTCGCGCATACACTTAGTCTTTGAGCATATACACACGTGAAAGGGTAATAAACACATCTGAGGTAACAATAGGTGATTGTTGATTAAAATCTATATGGCATTTCGAGCTTATCATGTGCGCGTTGAATCCATGAATTACGTATCTGAACATGAAACATAAACATTAGGATGTGTGATGACGATTTTACTGCGGAATCCAAAATAGTGATCAACCCCTATAAAGAAACTCTACACGTGCAAAACCGACTTCCTTTAAATAGACCGGTTAGGACAAACTTTTTCACACCAAAAAAAAAAATAATCAATCTTCCCCTTCACTTCCATAGCCTTAAATAAAGTAAGTTGCGTACGCGAAAAAGTCGACACGCTTTGATTCAAGAAATTTCTAAAGTTTGTTTTATCTTTTTTTCAGCTGTTTAACGGTGTTTTTTTGCGGGGTGAAAAAAAAAAAAAAAAATTTCGCGCGTCTATTTTTTATCCTTGTTTACCTAAACTTTTTGGTTTCTCCATAAGCAGTTTTGTTCTAGATAGACTTTATAACATTAACAGGAAAAAAACAACAACCGATACTCGATATGATGGATTATGACGAAGAAGTTATTATTAAGCTTCATGACACGTATACCAACACAAACAACGCCATGAACGAGGTGGCTCAAAATAAAGTGACTTCCTTATCTGATAACGCAACAGATCTTAATATGATCGTGACACAACAAAACAGCGTTTTATCTGACACATATAACAAAGTTTCTTTTAGCGAATGGGTGGGTTTTATGCAGGATTTCGGAGCGAGTCACGGGTTCATTAATGCTTACAATGTCAATTTTGGCATACAGGGTGAGGAAGACGGTGATTTCGAAATTGATGAAGATTTTGTTCGGGTGGTACAATCACAGACGCTGCAAGATGACGCGTTGAAACATCATCAAGAATTTATGGACGAAGATTGCGATACTCGGACAGAAGTGGAGGAAACTGCAACTTCAGAACAAGTTCAGCCTGTCGAAGGTAAAAATGATGAGAACAAACGAGAGATACCCTATGATGATTCGACGAAAGAAATCGACAATATGGATCAGAGTTCATCTGCTCAACTTAGTGAGGTATCTGTCCAACCTACTTTGATTGTTCAAAAAGACGTTTCAATTTCCGTCACTAAATGCAAACAGTCTGAGAAGGGCAAAAAAAAGGGGGCGAGAAAGACTCCCGGACGAAAGAAGACCAAAGCCGATACTGAACCTAGTCACTCTGTCGATGAGAACAGTGACATCGACTCCTCTAAGGGTAAGCATTGTCAAGTTAAATTGATTTATTAACTTCCCAATTCACTAAATGTGCATGTATTTTAAATACTACAGAAGACGCCGACCTAACTCCATCGATAACAAAGTCTGGCAGAAAAGTTCAAAAACCCATTTTCTATAACCCGGCCAAGTCTGAGCGGAAAGTTAAGCCGTCCGAGGTATCGAATGAACAACAAAAAATATTGGTCGAGTCTAAGAAGACACCAGTAAAGAGAACGGCGGGTAAATAGCCATCTTGCACGTGTAAACCGCTTGGTTACAGTGGAATTTGTTGCGAAGCGCGAATTATGTTTTTCTTTTTTTCTTTACTCTTTACAGAAAGACGCCAACATAAAACGGCCAGAAGCACGCAGAATAAAGCATATGATGCGTTAATGAGAGTGGATCATGCTATGACTCCAACGCCAATTGTTCCCAAGAGTGTGCAACAAAGTCCACTAGAAAATATTCAAGTATTTAATCAATATCTAGATTCTCGCGATCAACCTAACATAGTTTTCTTCGGTGAAGAACTAGAGAGTGATGATAGTATGGTCTGCAACATTTGTCAAGAGGGTTTATCCGAAAAAGGAAATTGGATTATTCTATGTGACAATTGTGATACTCCCTATCATCAAATATGTCATAAACCGGTTATCAGTGATGAATTTGCAGATTCTGAAAAAGAATGGAAATGTCTTAATTGCGTAGATTGTCCAAGTGCAAACAAACGCGCGAGGATCGACAAGCGAAACCTTACGGGAAAGCCCCGTGGGAGACCAAAGAATGATAAATCAGGCATAATAGTAGGAAGCGATTCCACTGAGATTTCCAAAGAACACCTCGGTGAATCAGCGATATCAGCAAATCGGGTTGGTTCGGCTTCAAAATTGCTAACATATAAGCAAATAGATATACTGTTGACGCGAGAGCAGGTGATTTGGATAATGCTAATTTTTTATTATTTTTATTTTTTCAAGATCATTGTAATCTTCATATTGATTTTTTTGTTCATATTTAATTTACAGAAAATCGAATATTTTTCTTCTTTACCAAAAGAAGTTTTGGTTAACCTGTTGCTCTTGGCGGAACAAATCGCGCCCAATATACCGTTATATCCGGCAAATATCTTACAAAAGTACAGAGATGTTAACGCGTCTAAATATGGAAGATCAAAGTTAAATCTTCAGGCGAAGACAGAGGTAGCGGCGGAGGAATCAAATGTACATATGGACACTTCAGAATCATTAGCTCAACACGAAGTGGGTGAGGATTCTATCATTCCGAAGAGGGAAACTCCGGAAGTCATGACTCCTGAACCCACTGTAAGTTCCTTACCCAGTGCGAATGTTCCAAAAAAATATTCTGCTTTTTATGTTGATATTTTCATAAAAGCAATAACGGCGATGAATCAACCAAATGGAAGTTCTGCACACAGTATTTACAGTTGGATAAAAAGGTGCGGCTGTTTCATTATTTGAAATGGTCATTTTTAATTATCAATATTAAACCTTCAACTCATTTATATTTCTGACAGTAATTATGTTGTTCCGGAAAAATTCCAAAATCACGCGAAAAAGCATCTCTTTGATGCCGTTGCACAAGGAATCATAGTAAAAAACACCAAAATGACATACAAAATTAATAATTCTTATCCTTACGTTCCATCAAAGGTAGTTTTCCGTTGGTGCCTCTTAGTTTACCATTATATACAATTTTACTAACAATACTTCGTTACTTAGGATATTGGAGAAAACCCTTTCAAGCCTTTAAATCCAGCTAACTGCGAGGCATCAACACAAAACAATAAAATAACCAAGGCTAACTTGGATGTAATTTTGGATCAAAGTAATACGACAATTTTGAATAATATCGATGGGGTTAAGGGTCAGGGCAGACAAATGAATTCGGAAAACCAGGGGAGAAATCCGCATGGTGGTCAATTGATCCTTGCTCTTCGGGAGGGAAATTCCAGTCACAATATTCAGTCAACTTTAACTAGCTGTGAAAGAAGTCAGAGTTGCCAATTGACACCAAACTGTCGTCAGAGAAGTCTTAATCAGAGCGGTCAACCTCCTAATCAACCGATTCTGGAACAGAAACCCATTGACGTGATCGATCAAGCATATCAGCGAGAATCGTCTCAACAGATGCTGTCCACATCAAAGCCTGAGCATAGAGATGCTTTGATAAACAACAATACCGTGAATACATCGACCATTCAAAATCAAAATATCAATTTTACGAGGCAAGAACAAATGCTTAAAAATCCTAGAAACCCAGTTCCCATTTCATCGATCGTGAATGGCAATATTGCACCGCGTCCCAGTCGGATTCGCCCACCAAACTCTTTTATGACGAATCAGTATATGACGGTACCCCGGCAAAATATTAATCAAGGACTAAACAATTTCTCTCTTTCAAATCAATCGCTATCTATGCTGAATAACGGGATAGGTTCTCAAACAATACTTCCACCGATCAACCCTCAGCAGCAGCAACAACAGCAACATTGGCCCACTTCATTCAATCCATTTTACATGATTCCGAACACGAATGATAGTCAATTTGGATTAATGCATTCCACCTATCCTACCTATGGCCAGAGTCAACAAGCCGCGAGCTACCGAGGTCATAATGGAATGCAAAATAATGGCTCCCTAATGAACGGAAATCATAATGGACAAAACATCAACGGTTCTGTGAACTCATCTTTACAAGAAATGGGTTAGATCTCACCACTTTTGGGTAATATTGTAAATCCATGAATCTGAAAGAAAAATACCGTCAATTTTGATGTGTCTGAGCTATTATTAGTTCTTTGATGCAGTTATAATAAATGATTTGAATGTATGATGCGTAAAATAAAGAAACAAGAAATTATTTTTTCGCATATTTATTATAGCATATAAGATGACAATATTCTTTGAATTGTAAATATGACAAAAGATAAACTCCAGGAAAAGGAAGCGATCATTGAACGTCTCGGTGAAAAGATTAAGTTTAGTCATGCGTGTTTTGTGCCTAGCTATTAAATGGAGAGGTCGCTCTTTACAAGTAATTTTGGCGTGATATCATATAGGGTTCCCATAGCATACAGTACATGGATGCATATTGTTAATATTTCCATTTCTTCGGGAGATGAATTTTATTTCTCTGAAGTTTAAATTTTACGATCGAAAATTTGTAATGTCTTGGTGTGTCTCTAACGTGTTTCTTTTGCACCCCAAATTGGACGAGAGTGACAGAGAAGGAAGGTATGCTTTAACACGATAAAGATGATTGTGTTGTCGCTGTGCAGAAGGGCTTTTAAAGGGCGTAAAGATATCAAGCATAAAGGTGATTCCTGGCGATTATTTGGAGGGATATTTTGTTCTGATGGTGCGACTATTATGGAGGCTCACAGGATTGTTGTTGAGGCTATGAACGCTAGGCGAATTCTCATTGTCATGGAAGGAATTACGTCCGAATGCTTTACTCGAGAGTAGTGAAAATATCTTAGATAAGTAATTAGAAAAAAAGAATATATATATATATATGTATTCAACAAAAAAATCGTTTAAAAACAAAATTTCAGAGCAATAAAATGAGTTTTGCTTTTTACATTAGTAATGACCTTTTAACCAAGAATTTTTTTTAAAAAAAAATTATTCTTCCCATTCGGGTCGCTGGAAATCACGATATACATATCAATAAATTATATTGTATACGTAATAAAGACAATGTTTTTACAAACATTTCAAATCGGAATATTTATTACATCTACATAATTTGCGAAATTTCCATTTTAAATGTTTCTCATCATATGGACAGATGACACCGCATTAGGATGATTTTTATATTAAAAAATTATCAATATATCAAATCTTTATTTTAAAAATTTTTTCTTTATGATTTTATCAAATTCAAGCCATAAACATTCGACTATATGTTAAATAGCAAAGTAACATAATTTCGATTTAAAAAGTTAATATAGTGTGATTCAAAAATTTTGATAAAAATTATCTATTAATTACTTTACAACTATCTATTAATTACAATAATTTATTATTATTACATATTACTTGTTCATATCTATTTTGCATCCACTTAATCAGATTATTTAATATACTATTAGGAATTAAATTCTATTTTTTTTTTAAAACACTTTTAATTCAATTAAATTTTATGGCATTCTTTTTCAATATTTCATTTTACTAAACTTTATATATTTTTGATTGGATTTAAATCTGAATTACTGGCTAATCAATTGATGACTTTAAACATATTTGCTTTAAAATAAGATTTCACCAAATAATTCATATGTTTTGGGTGATTATCTTGTTAGAACTATACATGTGTTCATATTTAATTCAGATATTTTTCAAAAACCATATTATGTTCATATTATTAAGTAACAATTAGTAAGTAATTGGAGATTGTATTTAATTTGAAATCGTATTATCAATCAAATTTTTTTTTTATGGTAATAAGAAAACATGTATAGTTAGAACTATTTTTTTTTTCATTATAGTCTTAATATCTGTTATATTTTTTTTTAATATACTGACATAAACTTTGGAAATTATTATTTTCCAAAAATAAAATAAATTAGTTTTTCTCTTTATATAAAATCCATTCATATAAATATTTTTTTTCTATCTTTAAAAATTCAATTAACTATATTGTGAAATAGTTAGAAAGCAATCTCATCTAAAAAAAAATCTTTGTTAAAGTATTATTCAAGTATTTTTTGATTCATTTTAATTGTTTTTGTTTTTGAAGTGAAGTAAATATTGGTATTGCTTTAGAAATATTATTTTTATATCCAATGGTTTTTAAATACTATATAAAAATTAATTGTAAGATTACTTCATTCAATTTTATAACTAGGATTCTAAAAAGTATCAAACTGGTATCGAATTGATATTGAAATAATACTGTTCTCTAGTAAATTTAATATATAGGTTATAATCCACTTATATAAATTTATAATAAATTTAAGTATCAAACTGATATCAAAATGATATTGAAATAGTATTGGATATTGTTAAGAGTCCTATCTATAATCAAGCTTTTTATTGATATAAAAGAATTTTTTTCTATATATTGTTTATTTTTTGTGCCAATTTTTTCATAATTATTTTTAAATAACCAATTCTTTTAAGTTACTTGTTGATTTTAACTTTTTCATTTTTTATAAATTGCAGTAAATGGTTAAAAAAGATATTTTTATTGTTATATATATTTTCTTTACAATATACTTACTTTAATTTCAAAAAGACAAAATTATTTATTATTGATTACTAAAAGTAAAAACAGTTATCTTAACTTCTATTTGTATTACATAAAAAGAATTAAAGAACAAAAAATTTTAAAAAAAATTCATTGAATTTCTGTTTTATCACTTGTATATTTTAATGACATATTCTTGTCTAGTTTTAGCTAATTACTTATATTATTTTATTAAAACTTTAGAATTATATTGTATATGAATATATTTTTAATATTATATTTAATATAATTATTAATAATTAAAAAAAAAAAGCTTTTTTCTATATATAACTTTTTTTTAAAATTAAAAAAACAAGTATTTTTTTTACTCTTAAATACTTAAAAGTCCTTTATACTTTCTTTTTTTTTATTACAAAAACTTCAAGAAAATTAAAGAAGTATACAGATATATTAAAATAAAACCTCTAATAAAAAAAAACAAGTTTAAAAGTTTTGTTTTTTTTTTTAAATTATATAAAAAAAGACCTATAGTAATTGTTTTTTTATAAATTTTTTTTGAAGTTTTTTCTATTTTTTTTTTTTAACCTGCAATCAAACTGGTGTTGTATATTTATTAAATCATAAAGAACTATTACACACACAAAAATATATGCAAAGTACAAATTTTCTTAACCCAACTTATTCATCTTAAGTCTAAACCTTTAGATGCAATTTATAGGAGTGATATGTTATTAGCCTGATAGTTAGAATTAAGATCCAGTTATATTATAAGAATTACAGCCTGCAAATCACATCTATAGTTACAACCATAAATCCAAATTATGTTATCTTCCTTTTGCAGAAACTACATAAAGGGCAAGGAATAAAAAAAGAAATAAGGATAAAAAAAACAACACAAATGTATACAAATAAAATGATATATGAAAAAAAAAATAAAAACTATTATCTATTCTATTTATCATTGAAATGATATCTCAGTGGACAAAATCCAGACCCCTCATAAATACTCACTTGTCACTACCTGTGGTCAGTTAGACTGTTTAATTTCTATCGAAGCAGGTGATATTCAAGAATATTTAAGGACACTTCCTGAAGAATATTTCTTGAAACTTTATGTTTGAAGACTTCTGACCAGAAAGGATGTTGGTTTTCTATTGTTGATTTCTCTTCCAAGTCATGTTTTTCTGAAATTATTGCTTTATTCAACCAGTGGATAGTTTTAAGATCCCTTTCTTTAACTATTTTCAGGATAGACATTGATGCTTCAACTTGTTATCAAATTGGTATAGGATTTGAATCTTGTGGTTACTTCCAATTCTTTAGATAGAATAGAAAAAGAAAAGGTGTAAATAAAAGAAAAAAACAAAAAAGGGGATTGTTCCTCCTCCACTCACAACTTCAATTTTTAACTAGAACTTTTTTATTACTTCTTTGACTAAAAAACTATCCAACTCTTTTTGGAACCAATCACATTATCGATTTGGTGTTACGCGACTTGGAACATATGAAAGAACATGCCTTGTTTACTTTTTCTATAACTAATGTAATTAATCAATCCGTGACCTTGACTAATCATCTTGCAGAAAAGTCTGGTGTAACCAAAAATTTGGAGTCAAACTGAGGTAGGCAAAATTTTCTAGAAAAACCAAAAAAAAAGAAACATGCTTGAGAGAAAAGAAGTGGAAAGCCAAAGAGATAATATAAAGGCTAAAAGTTTCTTTTTCTTTATTTCTTTGGACTTTTGAACCTTCTAGGGGTCTTTGGAAGGTACATTTTCTTATTAGTTTTTTTCCTAGAAAAATGTTCTTGCCATAAATCTTTTGGATATGTTTTTCTTATATTTAGTTACAAAAATATGCAAAAAGGTGTTTGAAAAAGAAAAGGAAAACAAGTAGTAGTTGTTACTCGCTTTGCTGGTTAAGGAACCAGTGTTGTTAAGAAAAGTGTATAGACTTTATTATCAAAAAGATATAAAATCTTTTGAGAATATCTGTTTTTTGAGTTGGTAAATGGATCAGTAGAAAGAGTTATCTTACATTGCTTTTTCTATTTTTTTTTTTCTAATATATAAATCTTTTTAAATAGTTATATTTTCTGCTTAGAAAACTTCTTTTTAATTTAAAAAATCAAACTTCATATCAAAATTGTTTATATTGTTAACTTGATAATTAACAATATATTTAATACTTATCTTTTATTATCACTTAACATATTTTTCTATATTATCAAAAATTAAAAATTTCATTTAAAAAATTTTTTATCAAAAAACTATAGTTAATTTATTTCTATTAACTAATTAATATTTCAAATTTAATCAATTAAATATTATTAAGTTTCAAAATAATTTCATATAATTATAACATTATACAATAATAAATATAAACAAATCCTATTTTAACAATAATAATTAAAACAAGATTACATTACAAACAAATATAAATTAATTAATATACTAATAAAAATATCAATAACTATAACAATTAAATATAATTCAAGTAATATGTTAACAATACTATTATTTACTTTAAATAATAACTTAATCATTTTTGAAAATAATATTTTATTTTAATTAAATAAATCAATTAGTATAACATGTCTAATTCAAGATATTTTGTATTATAATCAGTCTTTTTTATATTTTTCTTTTAATCATTACCAAATACTAAAATACAAATAACAATACTATTTATTATCATTATTAATAATAATTTAAAAAACAACTATAAAGAAGATATATTATCAATATTATTATATACCTTAAGCTATAGCTTAACTATTTTGAAAAATGTTATTATACTTTAAAAGATAGAATTATCAAAATAACATTAAGCATTATTCATATTACAATTAGTTTTATTATTATTTTTTTTTTTTTACTTTTATATTTTTTAAAAATTTTATTTTATATAATTCTAAATAGATATTTATAATTGTTTAATATTATTTTTGATATATATTAATTTTAAAATTTATTTTTCTTTGTTACTTAAATAGTTTCTATAAGCAAACTAACATTAAATTTATTAATCAATTGGTTATATAAGAGATGTTATCACTTTCTATATGTAAAATTTTTTATAATTTTTTATAATATAATAAAAAGATAAGATTTACCTATTTAAAGATATATATTTATTTATTTAATATAATTAAAAAAAGATGTTAATTTTTTTTTTAAAAAAATTAAGTTATTATTAATCAATTGTTATTATTAACTATAGTTATATAAATTTATTTTTAATTAATAATAAATAATTAATAAAATACAATATAT